TTGTCTGACCTAAAGAAGGAGATTCAGGGTCCAAAATTAATTAACCAGAAGTCCTAGTGTTCAATTTCTGTTGATTCCAGTTGGATTCCTGTCGATTCCGGCCGGAATCCTGTGGAATTCCAGGATTCCGGCCGGAATCAGTGGAGGAATGGAAAGTATTGTTCAGTTGCACAGTTCACCAACATCTGTATTACCATCAAGTTGGCAAAGTGCTTTGATCTTTCTCTTCTTCTCTCTCCAATTGCACCATATCTGCATACCCCACCCACATCTGTATTACCATCAAGTTGGCAAAGTGCTTTAGTCTTTCTTGTCTTCTCTCTCCAATTGCACCATATCTGCATACCCCACCCACATCTGTAGTAACACAAACTTCACTAAGTTCTTTATTGCTTCTCTCCTTCTCTTCCTTTTTTCCTCTCCTCCTCTTCTTCTCTCCCTGTGTTCACCCATCTATCTCTTGAGTTTTGATTGTAAACTTATGGACCATGAATTCTATTCACCATGTCATTGTATGGAGTCACATCTATCTTTCCACTAAATCCTAACCAAGATCTTTTTTCAACCATATTATGAATCCAGATACATAATTTCTGAACTGTATCATGAATATATTGATTAGAAAGAAGCTGAACCCAGATTCTTTCAACTATATCTTGAACCAGAATATATTTACCACAAGATATTGAACCAGGGTATGTTAACAATATATATTCTGAAGCTATATCTTGCACAAGGATATATCTTTCAACTTGATCCTGCACAAAAATATATATTCAACAAGATATCGAACCAGAATACATTACCAAGATATATTCTTTAGCTATATCTTGAACCAGGATATATCTTACAACTTTATCTTAAACCAGGATAATAACAAGATAAATTCTTGAGCTATATCTTGAACAAGGATATATCTTTTCACTTTATCATGAACAAGGATATATCCTTCAGCTTTATCTTTAACAAGGATATCTCTTTCAGATTTATCTTGAACCAGTATATATCACCAAGATATATTTGTAAGATATATCTTGGACACAGATATATCCTTAAACTTTATGTTAAACAGGGATATATTATTAAGCCTTATCTTGAAGCAGGATATATTATCAAGATATATTTTTGAACTATAAAATGAATCCAGATATATTTCAAATCAGGATTCATTTATTTCCAATATCCTAAGTCAAGATAAATCTTCGAAATATATTTTGAATATTATTAAGCTTTATGTTGAAGCAGGATATATTACCAAGATATATTTTCCAACTATAAAATGAATCCAGATATATTTCAACCCAGGATGCATTTCTTTCCAAAATATCCTAAGTCAAGATAAATCTTCCAAATATATTTTGAGTATTTGTTATGCAAGCATAATATATATCCTAAGTCAAGATATATCTTCAAAATATAATTTGTGATGTAAGCATGATGAAAAACGAGTGATCGAGTGGGTTAATAGAGAGTCAACCAAGTGACTTAATCGAAACTGAGTCAAGGATATTAATATGTAAGAAAAGAGTGGAGTTGAAACTGAGTGAAGGATATTAATGTGTAAGTAAAGAGTGGAAGGATAGGCATGGGTAAAGACAGTGAAGGAACAGCCAACAAAAACCTGTGTATTACTGCAATCCCAAAAGTTAGATCAAGTAAAGCATGGCATAAAGGACTTACAAAGGACTATAGGAAAGGGAATTGACAGAGCAAGGTGTGTAGGTGGACAAAGGCAAAAGGAGGGGGACACAGCCTAAAACCACCAAGTCAGATTGATGAAAGAACATTATAAAGGACTTACACAATGATGTATGGACAAAGGCAAATCAGGAACACAGCTACAAATGAACCAGTCAGATGCATGAATGGACATAAGTAAGGACTTAGGAAATACCCAATGAGCAGGAAAACAACCCAAGAAAAAGAAGTCCAAAAGGACTTAACATATAAGCAATGACCTAGGGAGCAACTGAACCTTGAGAGTTCTTCCTTGGCCCAGCATGTTTGCCTGAAACGCGAGCATGACCCGAAGTACTAGCGAAAGGCTGAGATACTGATCAAGATGAGGAGGCAACGTGAGCTGAAGAACTAGCGAAGGGTTGAGAAACTGAACGAGACGATGAAGCTGGTGTCTTCTGGTTCTTGAGTGGGTCAAAGAAGGAGATTGGGTGTTCAGCTCGTCGAAGTTTGGTATAAAACATGTTATCGGGAAGGGAGGTGAAGGAGACGTGACGTTGGCGTTTAGCAGGACATTCCACTTCTGGTTGTTTCGGCAGACAGCGGTACTCTCTTGTGGACCTATGCTTGAGTTCTTCTTCAGGCGAGGCCATGGCGGTGTCATGTGATCGTTTCTTCGTGGACAACGCTGGAGACGAAGGGAAAGAACTGACAGGCGAAGATGTATCACCTTTCCGATCACGCTTCTTCATTGGGGCCGAAATGGAGCAATTGCCATGGACCCATTTGCTCGAGTCTTTGACGAAGACCATCAGAAGACCTTCAGAGTTAATAATGAC